GGGGTGGGGGGTTGTTGGGGGCAAAAGACAGCGAGCTTATTCAATCAATGATGGTATAAATTTCAAGATAATTAAAAAATAATTATACATTTGCTTCTTGTATCAGTTTTTGTTATCAACTATCAAAAGTTTATATTTTTACCATCTTTGTTAACAGTAAGCTCTCAAGTGACGGGCTGAGAGAGGCCATCGCTCAGATTAAGACAAACTCAGAAACGAAAAAGAGAAATTTCACCGAGACAGTTGAGCTTCAAATTGGGTTGAAGAACTATGACCCACAAAAGGATAAGCGTTTCAGTGGCTCTGTCAGGCTTCCACATATTCCTCGTCCTAAGATGAGGGTTTGCATGCTTGGGGATGCTCAGCATGTTGAAGAGGTAAATTGGTTCATTGGGCAAACTATTTATGAGTTTGATATTTGTGTGTTTATGTCGGTGCATTTGTTACAAACTAAAAGTAAGTCAAACTTGCTTGTAGATGTATAACATATCTGCTACATTTTACTACAGGCAGAGAAGATGGGTTTGGACTACATGGATGTGGAAAGCTTGAAAAAGCTTAACAAAAACAAGAAACTGGTCAAGAAGCTTGCCAAGAAATACCATGCATTTTTAGCTTCTGAAGCTGTCATTAAGCAAATTCCTCGTCTTCTAGGCCCTGGTCTTAATAAGGCAGGCAAGTAATTTCAGCGCCTGTAACACTTTATAATTAACTGTTAGGTTAAGCTTCAACTTTTGGTTTCTCTAATTTATTCTCAAATGTTGTTTGGTGGCTTAAAACTCGTCAATGTGATCTTGATACTGACTAGAGTATCAACCCTCAAAGTTGTATTAATTGTGGACCATGGGAAAAAAAATTATTTCCTGAGATGACATCCTAACTAATATTGTCGAGTCTTTCCAAATCTATTCGATCATATCGTGGAACATTTTTCTGAGCAATCTCTGGTAGAATTTAATTCTCAATATTCCTGATTTGTAGCTATTCTGCCTCCCATCTTTTGGAGATTTGGTTGATTCAAGAAGCATGTTAGTTTAATAATTAGATAATATGATATAGATTGGTAACCTTTAGTTTTTTTGCCAAAGTGCAGGTAAGTTTCCAACATTGGTGAGTCACCAGGAATCTTTGGAGGCAAAAGTGAATGAAACCAAAGCAATGGTGAAGTTCCAACTTAAGAAGGTTCTTTGCATGGGTGTTGCTGTGGGAAATTTGGCTATGGAGGAGAAACAGATTTTTCAGAATGTACAACTCAGTGTCAATTTCTTAGTTTCATTATTGAAGAAGAATTGGCAGAATGTAAGTTCATGGCTCCATCCTAGTTAAACCTTTTGGGTACTCAATATATGTATGTTTATATCGTTTTGTCCCATTTACTAATGATACTTACTTTGTTCTTTTGTCTGCATGTGCAAATAGGTGAGGTCCTTGAACCTGAAAAGTACCATGGGGAAAGCAATCCGTATCTACTAAGTTCTTAAGCTCTATCAGAGACTTTTTTAGCGGAGGAAGCATTAGCAGAACTTTAATTAAGACATTTTTTGCAGATGATTTTATGTTCCCTTTTGTTTTTGTTGACTTTGATTTCTTTGTTTAAATTATAATGAGTACTGTATTTTTGGTTTGAACGAATGTTGGAAGATTTTGAAAGAAATTTTCTTCACCCCCGATGCCTGTTTATGATTTGGTTCTTTCAGTTTGGGATGCTGTGGTAGAATTGTGATAAAAGGATTAGTAGGTTTTGAAGCGAAATTCGAAAGTCGCAATTGCAGGATTTTTACTTTTGTTAAATAATCTGCTCTTGGGTTGGAGAAAGTACTTTGCAGGTAATTAATTAGGCTATAGTTGTGATTGCAAAATTGCTACATATGTAGCCTGCAAGTACAGGAAATTTTCTCACTGGTGTTAGTACAAGCGATTGTTATAACATCAACAGAATTATACAATCTATCCAAATAAACCATTATTCTTCTAGTTCACCTCTCAGCTGTCTGGGAAGGGAGTGGATGAAAGCACTTGCAACCTATTGTTTGACCATGAAAGAACTTATAAAACTGTACCCACCTACAGCACTTGGAAGTTGGACTTGTAGTCACCTGAACATGAAACCAGAATTAGATTACTAGTACATAAATTCGAGCAGGAAAAATATGATATTTCAACAACACATGTTTTTTGTTCTAGAAAACATTTAAAATGATAACAGAACATCATAAAATTACATTGATCGAGTATAGCAAAATAGTGATATCCATGTTTCAGACAAGTTTTTGTGCCTCTTGAGGCATCTGGCAGGCACAGTGGAACCGACAATTGCATTGTAATGCTGTACAGAATTTCAACTAAAACCAAAGCACCAAGGCTGCGGATCTTCAACCTTAATCTGTAAGTTTCATAATATAGGCAGATGGTGCCAAATAATGGCAAAGCCCATCTACGGCAGATAAGGCACCTTACCCTTCTAAGCCATTACACTGTAATGTTGGAAGCCATTACTCTTCTGTTTTTCTATATCTCCACCTCCTCAAACATTAAAACAAATAATAAAAGTTCAATAAAATGAAAATGGAAAAAACACCAAATTAAATAAAATTAGATTTTCGTGTTTGGGTTCTTCCACCTTTGCCCAATTCTATATCTCTCTCTGCTCCTCCTTCGATCTCTCTCTCTCTCTCTCTCTCTCTCTCTCTCTCTAGGATCTCAGAGCTTCCGTTGGACATTGTGAATAAGCTCTGGTCTTCGTTACAGGTTCGTATCACTATTCGATCTTGGTAAGATTGGATTCTATTGGTAGATCTAAAATTGCTTCAATTAGGCTTACGTTTTCTTGTTCACAGTGAGTATTTTCATTTTCTTCTATCACCCACATCCAAATCCAAACCTGAATCTGCAAATCCCAGAAGGCCCCGAAACTCCATAGCAACAGCTCTGTACACTCCGTTGAGTTGGAATTCTCAGGTAATTATACATTACATCTTGCTTCATCAATCAATTGAAATATTTCAGTAATTAATAGTTGAATTGTGTGGTAGGCTGAGTTTCTTAGAGCATTACTTGAATTTATATTCCATAATTATAAACTAACAAAACCCAGAAGTCAGAATTGTTATCAAAGCCATGAGATAATGTTTGATGCAATGAAGATTACAATTGAAAATCACAAGTATCAGTCATGTAAACAGCATCGAGGGAGAGAGATGAGGTTGAAGAAGAAGCTTCATCTACAGCAGAAGTATGTAAACAAGAGCTTATAAAAAAGCACGCCCACAAGTCACGTGCTTTACATTCCCCAAGTGGTAAAATAAACCTTTTGTTTATCACCCTCAGCAGCAGCCAAGCCACCAAAATCACCCCCACGCCCAAGTAACCCAACACCGATAGCCACCACACCTGACCGGTCGTAACCCCCTTCTCCTCACCGTCGGCCAACCCCTCCTCCCTCTTCCCATCACCTCCTCCTCTCCCCGATCTCCCCTCAAATTTGTGTTTCATAATTAATTTCTGGGTTTCAATGTTGATGATTTTTCAATTGGATTTCTGGTATTCATGCATATCAGTAATCAATTTTATTGAATGAATTGAAATACCAGTCTTGCGGATCTGCAAACCCCAGAAGGGCCTCAAACTCAATAGCAACTGCTCCATATACACTCCATTGAAGTTCGAATTCTGAGGTAATTCTAAATTACTTCTTGCTTCATCAATCAATTGAAGGATTTGGCTCTTTAATAATTGAATGAGGTAATAGGTTGAGTTCTTAGAGCATTACTTTGATTTTATTTTCCATAATCATATACTAACAATACCCAGAAGTCAGAATTGCTATCCAAGCCATGAGATAGTGTTTGATTCAATGAAAATTGGTATTGTCTGATATCTATTATGGTAGGCAGTGGACTTTACATAGAAAGGGAAATTGCTATGTTCTTGTCAACCGAATTCCAAGTTCATTGAAGCCAATCAAATACATTGTGTTTTATTTTTTCCTCACATATGACATAATACATATGCATTTGCTTTCTCTTTGTTGAACGTTGATTTAATTAAACCTTTCCAGTTGTTAACAATTGCTCAGACTGCAAAAGATGGAGAGCAGTGAAGAACAGAAGCTCCAAGTTAGAAAACTAGACCTCTCAGACAAAAGCAAGGGCTTCATAGAACTACTGCAACAGCTAACTGTTTGTGATTCTGTGTCCGATAAGGACTTTGAAGATCGATTTAGGGAGCTTAATGCCCGTGCAGAGGACCATCGGGTCCTTGTTATAGAAGATGATCGTTCTGGAAAGATTGTTGCAACTGGGAGTGTGTTCATTGAAAGGAAGTTTATAAGGAACTGTGGCAAAGTTGGGCACATTGAAGACGTGGTGGTTGATGCCAATGCTCGTGGGATGCAGCTAGGGAAGAAAATTATTAATGCCCTCACGGATTATGCTCATTCTCTGGGGTGTTATAAGGTGATTCTTGATTGCAATGTTGAGAATAAAGCATTCTATGAGAAGTGTGGCTACAAGCAGAAAGAAATTCAAATGGTGAAGTATTTCATTTGAGAAACATTACATTTTCTTTTAAGTTTGCTTTGGGATTATACTTAGATCTTCTTTGGGGTGGGGAGGGGGGAGAACACCAGTTCTTTAATTGGTTCATGGTTGCAAGGCAAAGACCTACATGGGATGATTTATGACTTGTGATATTGTTTCATGCATTGAGGCTGGCTCCTGTGGCAAATTTTGCTGGTTTATTACTTTCGATTGGCGTTTTTCAGATTTAGTCATATTGACATATAACTTGACATATGATATTCTCTGTTGTTGAGTTGCAAGATACTCTTCCCAGGATATTATCTATCAGTCACTTGGGTTAGCGTGCTTGTTGTGATCCTTTTATTTTGTTCTTGCTTTTGTCCTGAAGTTCAAGAGGAGTTGGGGAACTCATATGATCAAACCATTTATTTGTTTGAACAAAAACTGGCAGAGCAGTTCTAAAAGCAAGCACCTTGCTGGTGGCCAAGTTTGGACAACTATTTGCAATAATCTTGTTGCCATTCGGTTGGCTATATGTCTGCCAATTGGACTATAAACAAACAACTAATTGCAATTCTCGGGTTGCATTTAGTTTCTGTCTTTTCGTTAATGGCTTTATCAACAACCAATTGCCATTCTTTGTTTTGTATTTCTTTTGTATTCGTCTGCCAATTGCATTATCACCCGCTCCTCACAAGTCACAACCATAAGGATCTACATCAACCAATTACAGACGCTCAATAGTAAAAAGTTAACTTTTGTAATTTCCTTTTACTTGAAGAAGAAAGAAAAAATTTGACTAGTAAATTGTAACATTTTCTTTTCCTTGTATAATAAGAATGATTAAACTAAAATGCGAACGTGGTGGAAGCTCACTAGTGTCTTCAGTTATGAGACCGTGGTCGCCCCCACACGGGATAGCTACTCTCCATCTTCACAGTTCAAATCCTCAAAAGTTTTCTCGTTTCGACATTTTAAGGAACAGCTTTCCTTCCCTTTGCATCCCGACATTTTGCTAACCCCTCCATCTGTAACCCTAAACCCTTAAAACCCAAATTTCATTCGACGCTTTCAAATTAAAATTTGGATCTTTATGTAAATAAATATTGCAAATTTTCGCTTTGGAGGTGAGCGTAAAACAAAATAGAAAATTCAAAAATGGCGTCGAGTTTGCACCAATGGGAGTCAGACCCTCTGTTTGCAGCAGCCGAAGTTGTCCAAGATTCTGCTGACAGGTCAATTTCTCATCTCCGCGCTTTTTTTTTTTTTTTTTTTTTTGGGAAAGCGAATAGAATTTGCCTTGATGTTGGCTTGAGAAGAAAGTAATGAGAAGAGAGCTGGAAAGATTACTTTCTGAAATGTTAGTTTGATGAACTTGGTTTCTGAGCTATGAAAGAATGTTTGATGTATGCTTTTTTTTTTCTCTTTCTTGAAGTTGTTATTTTTTGCCATAATCAATTATCACTTTCTTTTTGTTTGCTTTGGGAATAAATATGCTGCCTTTCACAAATGGACTGCATTTTATTTTTTTCTTCAATGCTCTGTTTTCATTTCCAAAATAAAGGGATTTCAGATTGATGCAGAGGACTTTGGACGTTTGATAGTTTTGTATTTGCAAAAGGAACTTATCCCTTTGAATACTTTATGCTAATTTCTCGATTTAACAAATCCAATATGAATAATTTTTTGTTTCATTGATATATTCAACGTATTTGATCTGGTTTTCTGTCTTTTTATTATATGGAACTGCTTATGAATTGTGCACTTCCTGAAACCAAAGCTTGTACTTTTTTTGTGGTTCGAATTTTAGGATGGAATCCGTTTTCCGCCTTCTGCTGCATGAGCTCAGTCTTATTCAAGGTGACTGTCCAGACCTAAAGTTACTTGTGTCGATAGATTGTCATAAACGTGATCTCGCAACAACACTTGAAACAGCAAAGTGGCAGGTGGTAGTTTATACCTGTGTCAACTTTTTTCTTCTTCATTTTCTTTGTTTTCTGTTAGTTAGGTTTTAGTGATTCTCTCCTGCCAGTTGGAAGATTTTGAAAGAGCAGTCAGCTTTTCAGCTACGGCAGGCAAGCCCCAACTACAGGAGGATGTACTTTCAAGGCACAATCAGTTTATCAGAGCCATTAGAGAACAAATACTTTATGTGGAGAAGAACTTGGAGGGAACATCAATTGGAGATCCCACGAGAAATACAGAGTGTGTCAACTTGAATGAACAAGATAGAGATGGGTTGGCATTGTTTCTTTCTGGGGGAAATGACACAGACCACTCTGGTTGTTATGATGTGGAGGACAACAGTATCTTGGAAAGATTTCTTGATCCAATTACATCTAGTGCTAAAGACAGTACTTCTGGGATTGTTGAGAACAAAAGCCGAGGAATTGAGAACTTGAATATGAATGGAGTAGTGCCTTTGGACCGTGCTATTGACTCGAGGAAGGAGAACAACTTGACGAAAGTTGGTTCTTATAACAGATTTGGTGAAGGTACAAGGTTGAGTTCTGAATTAACAGATTATTTTCCAGAGACATCTGGTGACAGATATGGAGGTGATGGGAGTCGGGATTTGGAGGCTAATGAAGCCAAACCTGAAAGCTTCTTTTGTGAGAACAAGTTGAGAAGGTTCTGCAGCATAACAAACGTTCTAGGGTTCTTGAATAACATAAGGACTGTTTGTGGGAGTAGGGTCACTAGGAATTATACAAAGAGATTTAAAGATGGAGAAGAACAAAGTCATTCCCCATCATGTGCTGCTGATGTTTCTCATGCTGCACAGGTAATTAGACTGCTTTTACTGATAATAAATGCTTATAAGTTATAATTGTTTTGTAGCAAATAAGTAAGAGTAGTCACCATAGTCCAAGCTGAGAAAATGGAATTTCAGCACTTTGGTCCCAATATAGAAAGATTATGTATTCTCTTTGTTTTTTGCAATTCTAGAAGAAATTTTGTGCCATCAGAGAAGCAAAGTACCTTTCTGAAAGATTTTCTGGAGAGCCTTATATTTGGAGTTTCTCCAAATGGACCCTTAACGCAATGAATCTTGTGAACATGTGCCATACTCATCAAATTTTAAGCAATTGAAAATGGAATTTTATGGTTGGAGTACAAACTATGATACAATTTTCTTCTACGTTATTAGAGTTTAGTAAATCTTCCTACATGCAAATTTACAATACAATCCTTGAGGAATTATTGTTAGTGTTGGTGGAGTAAGGAAGATCTTCTGTCCATATGTACCACTTATTTGCACTGATCAATACTTGAAAAAAGTGTGCCCCTCCCCAAAACCACCAAAAAGAAAGAAAACACAGTGCAATTACTAATATGTTGGGGCTTACATCAAAAAGTGTCTTGGCACTCGGAAATTGGGAACTTTTGTACTAATTACTACTCTTTTAGTTACTCTTAAATCTGTGATTCGAGCATCAAGTTTTCTTTCTCGGATAATTATGAAGATTCTTGAAGTTTCCAATGCTATGAAGTACTGCATGTTCTTATTCTTCTTTGGTAAATTAAAAAAAAAGGGAATACTTGTAAGTTCTTTTTAATTTTCAGTGTTCCAAAAAAGAGAATGTTGTGTGATTATTTCTTCATGGAAAACTTTATGTGGAATATTAAGTTTCAGCCTAGATGCTTATGGGTTTGATTGTCTTTGACAGGGGCAGCGTCAGGGAACACGGTTAGCATTTGGATATAGAAATTTTGGAGAATTATGTGTTGGGGTTCGGTCAAAAGTTATGTACTTACAGTCCTGGCTTGGTGTATTTAGGGCAAGATATCAAAGATCACCTTATGACATCCAAGTTCAGTGGCATTCTGTTCAATTGGTATTGATAGTGGTGCTTACACTCATTATTCTAGGTGACGACATATTCCTTATTATTTTTCTGTGGTCCTTGTTGCTTTTTTATTCACTACATTTACTTATCAATTCTAAATCTAATTGAATGAATACCTTTTCTTTTTTGTTGAAATAAAATTACTTGGTTGTCAACCCAAAGAGGAAAGTAGAACTAATCCATTATCATGCTATTTGATGTATGATCACTGGAGTATCTGTTCTACCCAAGATGACATAATACTGACTTTTCCTTGTACATAGGAGATCCATATATGGTAGAAAGTGATAGTTTTTGCTCTAAGTAGCATGTTAGGACTTGCATTACACATGCATAAGTACAGTGTTCATTTTGTTTGTTTACGGCTGAAATTACATAAAAAATTTCTAATGTTGTGTAGGAATCCACTATGCAAAAGGTAAACTCAACTGTGAAATAAATTTTTGTATAAATTTGTATTTTTTATTTTTTAATATGTTCATTGTGCAGGTATACTGGTGTCCTGGCTTGCTTAGGGACATTCATTCTTTTGGGTACATCTTACAATCTGTGTGTGCAAGGGTTTTCTCAAGACTTTTTAACCGTGGGAATGACCTGCTTTGTCATTATCTGACCCGATTGTTATGGTTGGGTGCAAACACCTCTGGGCATCGGGTCATTATTTGAGTGTGAATATCTTTGACATTAAGATGTATTGTCTCTCTGATTGACGATACTGCTAGTAGTGGATATGACTGTTATGTCAAGAATACTTTGGCCCTTGTTTATATTCTTCTAGCAGTTTGTAAATCTGTCTTTTACTCTGAGTGATGATTTTGTTTTTTGGTCTGCAACTCCGAGTAGCTAGTACTGGTGCAATACAGATTTGGGACCCTTTGAACTGGCTCTGTTGATTGAAAAACAGGGTCACAGTTGATCCATTGGTTTCAATGTCATCATGACCAAATTTTATGCTATGCATGGCATGAGGATGCAGGGAAGAATGAATGAAATGGAATTGTCTGGCAGAATTGTATGATACGAAAAGTGCAGACCCTCGCACTTGTCGGGGCTACTGGGTTGAAACCGCTGTAATCGATAGCCTTGAATATGGTAGTCATGCATTCATAACAAATTCTTTGAATTACTCATTGTACGTAACATTTCTTCAGCAAATAAGCCAAAACAAAGGATCAATGATTATCATTGATATAACCAATTGGAAATTTGGATACAGTTGAATAAACTTATACCTCAATCCCCAATATGATAGACAAAGCAATAGCTTATACTCCTTGAAGCCCTCTTGGACAGGAGGGGTTAGTATTTGATAGGAACTATTTTAGTTATAACCAGCAATAAGTGTGACCAATCTTTGCTTTTCAGTTGTAAGCAGTCTAAATTTTTCTTAATTGAAGCAGAGAAACAATTGCAGACCCCAATTGTTATGACATAGCATTTGGAAATGCCCAACAAAAATCACCTATTAACGTTCTACTATGATAGAGTGTATTAGGGTGTATAGGACTATTTTTGGTAGTTAAATAGGGTGTACTTAGATTATAAGGTGTACTTGGTTAATTTTAGGGTTCGTTTAGCACTACTCTTTGGCTTATTATTGATTGTTGTATTTGGTATTTCAGGGTTCAGAGTGCAGTTATGGCAATTGTATCACATCTATCATATAAATTTTTATTTTTATTTTTCCATAATTGATAAAAAGTTTTTTTGTTTTTTCACTTGAAGGCTGATGGAGAAGAAGACTTGTGCACGGTAGTTATTGCAACAAACTTATGATTTTATTTTATCTTATTGTTATTGATTGTTGTATTTGTTGTTTCAGTGAATTCTTTTCAGATTGCAATTCTGGAGATTGCATCGCAGCAACCATTTCGGTTTTCCATATTACTGATAAAATGTTATCTTTTTTACTTGAAAGGGTAATGGAGAAGAAGAAATCTGTACAACAGTTAATGCAAGCACCAAGTCGACAATAACATTTTTGACTATATAGATGCGTATTTGATTTGAGATACAAATTTATGGTGGTTTTAGCATTGATTGAAAAAATATACGAATAAATGCAAAAAAATTGATTTTACATATTCAAATTTACATTCATCCCGTCATTGGAGCAAAAAACACATTTGCATCCCCCTATTGTGAACTTTTGGCTGACATAATATGGTCCCTCTCCCCCGGAGATTGAATTCTTCATCTTTCATTCATGTACAGCAATTTTTTTAGGCATAATAATATTACCCAACTTCAAAATATTTGTATATATATATTTATATGAATCAAATAGTAGGTAATTCGTTCTCATATAGTAATGCGCATTTTAAAACAAAAGACAACAAATTGAAAAAGAACTGAATTTGTTATCAAAGTTGCAAAAAATGAAAAACTCAGATAGAAATAAAGGGTTCATAGATATATCTATGAGCAATTGTGATAGAAAACAAAGTCCCTAGAGTAATAGTAAATTTAAATTCCAACAAGGACTAAAAGGAAATTAATTAATATATTCCACAAAGTGATCATCAATACTTCATGAGTATTACATTTGATTGCATTTGGAAGAACATATATAATGCCGACAGTTGATGCCTGAGTCCTGAATGCAAAGTATTCATCCCTTTGTGAATCACCTGTTTCAAAGTCAAAAGTTAAGCAAAACTTTATTGAAATTACCTCAAGTAAAACTACTATGGGTAAAAACAAGAAATCATAAGTCACAACATGGAATAATCCAAGGAGACTGGAAGTGCACACTCCAATCACAACACAATCAAGGTCATACATTTATGAGCTCAAGTGTGTGTCTAGTAGTACTTAGCAACAAAGTTAATATATATTTTACTAAATAGAAACAAGTCAGACAGACAGATTACTGTAATATGTATATATATATAGGGATCAAGGAAAGGAAAGAAGTTGCATTGCATAGCAGCAGGAGCAGCTTACTCAATTAAATTAGCGCACAAAGCAACCAAGCAGTTTGCCATCGAAGGTGCGACCAGATTCTGAAGCCCAGTCGAAAGGAAAGACGCAAGAACCCAAGGTTTTGGCTGAGAAGGATCTTGTTGAACCATCATTATTCTCGGAAATGGAAAATTCGAATGTCACGACAACGAGATTCATCTTCTCCGTCGTAGGAATAGGATGATCATCATCAGCTTCCAAGCCTGGGATGAAACTGGCAATAACAAAGCAGACTTTTCGACCTCCTAGATGGACAAATCTAAACGTGTCATGTGATCTACCAAGTAATGCATGGAACTCTGTCAGCAGATGTAGAGGTTGGATGCGATGATAATAACAATAGCCATTTTCATCATCGTGGAACATGGCATAGGCTACTACATCATAACCATGTCCATATCCTGGGATGCGTTCATAGCCAAACATTATCTTATTACATTTAAGGTCACTACCTTCCTCCTCCAAGTCCACCACTAAAGCAAGGCCTAGGAAGGGAAAAGGCTCAGCAGAGCACACCCACCATTGGCGGGGATTCGGGGCGGCGACGTCGAAGCAAAAAGCTGGAGTTATTGGTGTGGAGACCATGATCTTGGTGCCCACAATCGCGTAAGAGAAGTAACGAAATGCACGAGGACAAGGCCGTATATATGGAGGGTCCGGCAGAGTGGTCCAAGTCCCCGAGTTGAACTCCTCAAAAACCGGACTTTTAGAGAAACATCGCGGACCACCAGAGAGAACATAGAGCTTCCCACCAACCTCAACCACCAATGGTTCAGGTTTCCCTTGATGAAGTTCACCATAGCAGCAGTCCCCCTTGATGATCCCGCCAAATTCTCCTTCATCACTAGTAGTGTGACTGTGACTATGACTGTGACCGTGATTGTAAACTACTTTCTCCTTTCTTTTCCCATCATCATCTGTCTCAAACATATAAATTTGTTTGCTCCCATATGATCCGTATCGAAGCCCCGTCTTCTGCTTCGGGTCCCGTGGTTCCAGGCCGCCGGCAAGAACAATTTGGGAGCCCAATAAACCGCAACGCCACCCCCCCCGGAATTCCCAGAATGCGTATCCCCTTCTCCATATTTTTTTTTTTTTTTTGGAGCTCTCGGATCTATTCTTAGCTCTATGTTTTCTGATTTCTTATGTTTGATTTGCTCTTGTGTTGCACCGCTACGCTTTTATATAAAACATAATGAATGTATTTGGTGTGTGTTAACTATGGGAGATTTATTTCCTAATTCTTGTACAATTGTAGACTTTGTTTTCTGTTCTACATATGCGTTAACCCTACTTTATATATATATATATATATATATATATATAGGATCCGTGCAACTACGTTTTTGGCACACGTTTTGACACAATGTTTGGGCCATTAGAT